ACATAGATCCCATATAGGTCTTCAAGGCCCTCTAACATGGTAGTGATGAAATTGATCAGCTATTGGTAAGAAATGTATTAGAAGCCTCAGAATTTCATAAGAAGCACCACATTAATAGCAAGTGTTTGAAAAAAGATTTTTCCGTCACTCGGCAACATGCCAAGGAAATTATAAGGAAATGTCCTACTTGTTCTTTGTATAACCAAACTCAGCTACCTGCAGGAAGTATCTCAAAGGGTACTCAAAGAAATAAAATTTGGCAAATAGATGTGTTTCATTTTATAGAGTTTGGAAAATTAAAATACGAATACAATACCATAGATACATATTCAGGATTTCAATGGGCAACTGTATTGAGTTCTGAAAATGCTGATTTTGTAATTACACATTTATTAGAAGTTATCACCATCATGGGTATACCTGTACAAATTAAGATTGATGATGCTCCAGCATACATTTCTAGTAAAATGAAACAGGTTTTTTGCATATTACAACATAAAGCATTTTACAGGTATACCACACAATCCTATAGGGCAAGCACTTATAGAACTATCTAATTGCACTCTAAAAGGTATGCTTAATAAACAGAAATGGGTAATAAAGACACCCAGAGACAGATTGCACAGTGCTTTATTAACTTTAAATTTTCTAAATGCTAATGAGAAAGGAACGACAGCTGTTGAGAGACATTGGATAATAGAAAAAAACTACAGAGTTGAATCAGCCTATATACTTTAAAGATGTGCTAACCTCAGAATGGAAAATAGGATATGTTTATACTGGGGAAGAAGTTTTACTTTGTTTCCACAGAAGAAGAAAAACTATGGATACTATCAAAATTGATAAAGACTAGATTTGAACAGGAGAGTTTTTAATTAGAAGAGTCAAAAGTTCATCAACCATCATCAAAAGAACTATCTAATTGATAGTTCATATGAGATGCACATATGCTGGTCTCTTCTCTCCATCATGGGCTTGGATGGCAGACTGACTCAGAAAAGTGTGGGACAGTACCTCAGCATTCCAGGACCCTTTGATGATTCTCCTATTCTGTTTTAGTGAGTTTTCTTTCCTAATAAATTCCTTTTGCCCTTTAAGCAGACTCCCATGGATTTATTGCAATAGAGACATCTGAAGAAAAAGGATGAATCATCCATAGAAAATGTCCCAAGAAAAATAGTAAATTGATTTCATAAATCTTCCCAGTTGTTTGCTTATGCTGTTCTTTACAGACATATAATGCAACTGGTCTTTTTGTAGTCCCAGTTCAATTAAAAATTAAAGCTGGCTTTGGAGTTGGATTGTAGCTCCCTCCTTCTCTAAACCCAAGCATCCTTGTTAAAGGAAAATCTAAAATCTCTGTATCATGTCAGAAGAGTCACCTGATATGGGTCCGAAGAAAAACCCAAATAAGGGACTCTTCTATTGTCACTAATCTCATAATTCTTTGATTATTTATTTTGACTCTTTAAAACTTTTCTTAAGGTATAAATATTATCTTAAAATTTATAAGATATATATATATATATATTTAAACTTTTTGTCATGATATTAATGGTCATATAGAGCACTAATTAATTCTAGAAAAAAGCATCCTCTAGCTTCTTGTGCATTATTTCTCATTTGAGTCTCTATCAGGTAATTAAGAATTAAGTTTTCTGAATGTACTTCACAAGTTGTGATCCTTTAATCACTTTGAAATCTGCTATATATGACATTTAAAATGTTTAAGTTTTTACAGTGAACCATGACCATTCCTAACAATGACCTTTGAAGTCTCCAAAAAGATGATGGGACCTCACAATGACGATTCCACAAAGCCAACAAACACCACCCAAAGATTGGTTTTGGACTACAAACTGCTCAGGACAATTTCATGGTGGCTAGCTGAGATTATCCAGCTTCACAGACTACTCTAGCCAGGACTTGAGATAATCCCTGCACTTTCCCATTACACAGAGACTGGACAACAAATGATACAACTAGCTCTCCCAGTACTTGACAATTATTCCATGTTTTTTAGGGTCCCCTAAAGATTCTGTCACCCCCTAGACAACAGTGAGTAATTTTAAGAACATGACACCCACATTCTCAAGAGGTGGGATGGGCACTTTTTAGTAGTTGAGTGGGTTATGGATGTTTGTCATCATTTGGGGGGTTGGTTACAAGTTGTTATTGGTAATGGTCAAGAAAAAAGCTGAACAGAGGAGATTAGATTCAGGGATCTTGTTCTAAAAAGAAAAAAGGGCACTCGGGAGGCAGAGCCAGGCAGATCTCTGTGAGTTCGAGGCCAGCCTGGGCTACCAAGTCAGTTCCAGGAAAAGGCGCAAAGCGACACAGAGAAACCCTGTCTCGAAAAAAAACAAAAAACAACAAAAAAAAAAAAAGAAAAAAGAAAAAAGGGGGATGTAGACATAGGATTAAAAGGTAGACTGTTGGATCTGCTTTTAGACCAAAAAAGCAACTACTAGTTTTAAATATTTTACATTGGTATGGATTTTTGTATATTGATACAAATTTAAGGTTATTTTTGTTAGAACCTACTATAGCTACATTTCTACTCCTGCTTAAGGTATTGTACCTATGCAGCTCATTCAACAATGTAATGTAAATTTCTAGTTCTTGAAAGTAATTATTACAGACTATTTAGGACAATAAAGGAATGCAGGTTAGTAGTTAGTCATTTATTACAATCAAGCTTGTAGTCATGTTAGGTATGCTTTCAAGGTCAAACAGATATATTTTAGATAGGCAAGCAGTCTTCAAACACTTCAGAGATCTACAGTATATGGTATTTAAGCTGTTTTGATAACATAAAATTTTTTATGACAATGAGACATGTCTGTTCCTGGCAGTACCATCTACTTTAGAGAAGATGAGGGGCATCAAAGAAACTCCATATGGAGTTTGCTTCCTTTGTGGCAAAAGTTAGCCACTGGGTAAGAAATTGCCCTTGCTTCAACTGCTGATAGTATGGTGTCCAAACTGGACAAGTAGGACACAAAGAAAGTGACTGCTGATCTATGACCATACAAGACAGGGCAGTTCTTCAAAATTTCTGCTTCACAGAAAAGTCTGTCAGATATTCTAAGTCTTCTGGCTCAAAATGGATACCCCAATGTTACAGAGGAACCTTGGGTGACTGTCCAGACAACCAGCTGATTCTGTCATTTCTTAGTTTTGGAAATTGTTTTCTCTGTACTTCCTGTTTACTCAGGTAATATTATATCCTTTTCAGGTCTCTGATGGAGCTGAAGACTAGATAGTTCTAGTTATAGTATTCCTAGTTACCAAATTCAGAAACGAAACTCACAAAAGATGTGTAAAGTATATAAAATTGAGAGACGTAAAAAGATAGTTTTGCATTAGTAATACAAGTTAGGATAGAAAATGAATTAGGTACAACACTTTGAACTCACCAAAATGGAATAGATAATAGAGTATTTTCTCAGAATTCATCAAATGCAAATGGACTGGACATTGTTAAAGTAATTCTTACCTGTATATATTTGTATATAATTTTTGTACTTGTATATATTTTTACTTTGTTAGTTAAAAATATTCCTTTTTTAGACAAAAAGGGGAAATGTGTGATATTTTGATCACGTTCTGACAAATAAAGCTGGCTTGGAGTCAGAGGGTGGAGCTAGCCACTAGCTGACCAAAATTAACCACAGAGGTTTTGGAGAACTGTAGATAGATAGGACAGGAAGTAGTAAGGTGGGGCGGAGAGGGATCCCTTTTTGAGGAGGGAATGGAGCAGGTAGGAGAGGACTGGTGGCTTCTCTGCTTCTCTGAGCCTTCAGATTCTTACACCAATATCTGACTCCTGAACTTTTATTGTTAAAGAATAGATTAATGCTTCACTGTATACCTTTCTTTACTTTGTACTACATGCCTTGCTGTGTAGCTACGTGTCTACACAGCAGACAAGTCCTCCTCCTTCTCTTGTTCCTCCCAGATTTCTCCTATTTATTCTCTCTGCCTTCCTTCCCTGCCCATCCTTTCTCCTGCCTTGCTATTCCTGCCTTGAGCTCTTCACTAGAACAATCAGATGTTTTAGACAGGTAAAGTAGCACAGCTTTACAGAATTAAACAAATGCAACATAAAAGAATGCAGCACATCTTTGTATCATTAAACAAATGTTCCACAGCATAAATAAATGAAACACATCTTAAAATAATGTTCTGCAACAGTGTTGGCCTTGGCTTGGCTCAGGTGGCATCTCATCTGGATATAAACAGCACAAAGGTCATCTGGAAGAAGGGAAAGCTCCAGAAGATGGCCAAGTTCAGGGAAAGATGGAGAGGAATGAGGGGCAGGAGGAAAGGAGGGAGGCATGAAGGGAGGGAGGACTCATGGAAAAGAGGGAGGAGGTCCCGTCCCTAGCTGTGGCAAGCTCTGATCTGGGTGGAATGTTTACCAACACCAAGGGGAAGCATGTGTCTAAGCACTCTTTTCAGACTGCCGTGGGAACTACGCAGACTTCAGCCTTCTGGAGGCATCAGCTCAGACACCTGGACCGATGCTCCCTGATGACCATTCTCAACGTTGTTTTCCTTCCTTTTGGTTTTGGAGGTTAAACCAAAGGCTTTATACATGCCACGCCAAGCATGCACTCTCTACTGAGCCACGTCTGCCCTTCCTAAGCGGTTTATTCGAGGTGGACTGTCAACCAGACAGCCTCCTTCGAGCCCCAGTCCCTCCTCCAGCTAGGGTCTAAGCAGCCCCTGAATGCCATAATCTATGTGGTAGGCCAAGGAAGATGTTTCTGGTGGATGAAATGATTCATGGACCAAGACTCCTGCCACCTGTGACCCCACCATCCCCAGGGCCCCTTGTAGTCTGTATGCAGCTGGCAGAAGGTGAACACATGGAAGGCACTTTCTACAAGTTTAATCTCATCCTCCAGCACTGGTCTTTGATACACTGGATACTCCTTACCATAAGAAAGGATAAGAAGTGCCCCTTAGTGATAGTCCAGGAAGGGGAAACATACCTTGCATGGACAGAGTCTGCTACGTTAGCTGGATTTCCTTGAGAGTGATTGTTGACATCTTTCTGTCTCATTGTTTCCTCAACTGTAGAATGAAGCTTTTGGACTGTGGCTGTAGCTCAGTGGTAGAGTGCTTGTCTAACATGTGGTCCTGGGGATCTCTCCATCACACTGGAGGGAAGAAGGAAGAGAGAGCACTAGCCATGGTACCCAGTTCAAGGAGTTCCACAAGGATTGTGTGGGACACATGATAGACTCTTCAACAGTGTCAGGTTCTCAGAAAGCCCTCCATAGGTGGCCATTGTCACTGCGTCATCCTTGTCCTCACTTTTCTCATCACCATAGTTACTGGAAAGTCAAGTAGCAGGGACATCATCTCTACCCTTTGACTTAGAATCCACAGAGAACTTATCCTATTTCTCCACAAGGTTGCTACACGAAGTGATTCGATCCCAGCCTTCCTCCTTCAATACAGATGTTTCTCTAAATAGCACACATGATAAAATCTGCTTAGGCTGCATGAAAGCAACTGCTGGACTAATGGGAGGATATGGGAGATTTCATTTCAAGTTATATCCCAGTTTTATCTTACATTAAAATTCTTCATTTCAATGAAAACATAAAAAAGCCATGCTGAGCAAAAGTTCAGCTGAAAGGGTATTAGTCCCTAAGCTTACACTTTGAGGAAGAACACGCACACTTCATTTTTTCAGAGCCTCCTCATATCTGTCCCTTCATATGTATTTATGAAGCACATATTGAAGCCAATTTTTTTGATGACTCCTTGCCCCTCTATCCTTCTGCCTAAGGCAGATACTATCATCTAGCTTAAGTTAATTCTGTTTTATTTGTTTGGCTATTGAGAAGAATTTGGGGAAAGGGAATGTTCCTTCAGTGAATAAGCCACACATTTTCAATCAGGTAAATAAAAATGGAAAGGCAAATATCATCAGTCAAGAAAAGTAAGGTTTCACTCACTGTTCTTGAGCTATTCGACCACCTAATGCTGCTATTTGTCTGCTTAATAAACTGGGGCTTTATCACAAATGTACTGTGATCATTATTCAACCCCCAGACTGCCTGTGCATCTGGCTGGCTATCGTCACTCCTTTATTATACCGACTCACTTATCAGCTTGGAGAATCTGCAGTGCGGTTGATCCAGCCTGCAGGACACGAAACTGAGTTAGAAGCATGAATTCATTCTCACCAAGACAGGAAGCATTAAACAAGGAGATTTTGAACAATGTCATCTAGTCAGCTCATCCACTTCCAAAGTCAGAAGAATGGAAAGAGTCTGAGCCTAATCTCCTAAATAGGCCAGCTCTGCACTCAGGAATTCTTGGAGAGGTTTTCAAGTGTTCTCTGAAGGACAGAATGCTGTGAAGTCCAGGTCTGGAAAGCCTCTTGGACACTTAGGAGTGCATTGCTCCTGATTGGGCGACACTAGAGGTCCCCCAGAGGCCTGTGAGGAGGTTCAGAGAGATTAATGTGCAGGGGGCTGCGAAGTGTCTGCCAACATCTGCTCCTCACTCTTGATAGTAACAGATTGTGGCTGTACACACTGCTGCCCAGGGAGATTACATTTCCCAGATGTCCATGTGGTTTGATGCGGACTTGGAGGTTTTTACAGGGGCAATGTGAGCAAAAGTGATGCCTGCCGTCTTTGGGTCTGGGATTGAAGACATCAAGAGGAACTTCCCACTTTGACTCCCAGTTCCTCAAGGCCAGAACCTAAAAGTGACAGTCCTAATTCTGTCAGTGTAGGAGTTGGACACACCTTAGGGTCTCACTCTTCCAGGGTCCACTGGGGGAAACACTAGAAATGCTCAATCAAAGGCCCTACCCAAGACCTACTAAAACAATCTGTGTTTTAACTAGGTCCTCAGGGTGATCCAATATACATTAAATTCTGAGGCACACTGGCCAGCGGGTGGCAGAGCTGAGGTCTGGCATGAACCTGGGTCTCCACGGGAGCAGAGCTGTGCCACTGACCTCTAATGGTCACACTGGACCTGTAAGAAAGGGAATCGCATTTACTATGGGAGTCAGTGTACTTAGAGAGTCATTGTTGCTGGTACTTAGATTTATCTGAAAACAAGTAGTGTGGCAGAATTCACAGGGACTCATTCATCAGACCCTACTGTCAGCTCCCAGGAAAGTTCCTATCCCAGAGCTAGCCAGTCTTAGAAATTTGGCATGGATCTGAACAGTTTGAAGATCTACCAATTGCACATGCAGGAACCAAAGGTGGTTCCTACCACTATGTGAGGATTCTTGACCTAGAAGACTCAGCTACTCAGGAGCCATTGGTAAAGTAGGGGATGAGGAAGAGGAAGAGAGCTCCTGATGTGTAGGTACTTGGCTTCAGGTTGAAAGGCTAGAAAGATCAAAATAACTGAGAATCAGTTGCAGTTCACAGAATGTTCCAGATCTTCCTGACTGCTGCAACAAACTTCAGGTTGCATTCTCCGTTTCCCTCAGCCAGCAGGCAGGCATCCCTAAGGTTCACCAGCCCAGTCAGAGCAAGCCGGGCCTGCCCTGGGGCTGTTTTCAGGACAGCGTCTATTCTGTGGAGGAAATGACAAGCTCACATTACAAAATGATACTTCCCACAAGCTTAGGCACCTGGGAGTCAACGTGAGCAGATACACACCCCTCCACACTCCTCACCTGGGCCTGTCCCATGTACCCTAGCCTCTGTTTCCATCACACAGAACATTGCCATTCCAAAAGAATACTCCTTTTTCTGTCTTCTTGGTTTTTTAACTATGTATTTAAATTATTTGTTTATTTTATTGGTGTTTTGTTTGCCTGGATGTCTGTGTGAAGGTGTATGTATGTTGAATGTGTCTGATGCCCTGGAACTGGAGTTATAGACATTTGTGAGCTGCCATGTGGGTGCTGGGAATTGAACCTGGGTCCTCTGGAAGAGCAGACAGTGCTCTTAACTGCTGAGCCATCTCTCCAACCCCATCTTTGTTTTTTACACATGCCTTTTTTTCTCCATTTGTCAAACTTTTCCTATTGAAAACCTAATTTTTCTTTCTTTCTTTTTTTTCCGAAAAGACATTTTTCTTTCTCACACATGAATTTCCCTTCAGTGTTCCCTTATCAAAACTTACTGCCCAGATTCTGGCTCCATCTGGTGACAGAGAACACTGTTATGTGACAGAGATGAGCTGAGGTCACCACAGAAGTGACGGGCCCTGCCCTAGGCCCAGAGATCACTTACCACGTCAGAAAGCAAGGGTGTTCGTCAAGACATGGGGAATCATGTCAGCACCAGGCGATGCAGAAGGCAAGCAGAGACTTGTAAAATTTGTCAGATATATTTTAATAGAGTGAAATCAGCTTTTAAAAGTCATGTGTTTGAGGCGTGCATGTGTGCATGCTTGTGCGTGTGCATGTGTGTTGTGTGCTTGTTGAATGGAGGTGAAAGCTGGGGTTGTGCCTCAGGTGTCTTTCCTCAGGCACTGTCCTCTTTGGATTTTGAGACAAAGTCTCCTATTGGTCTGAGGTTCACTGATTTGGCTAGACTAGGTGGCCAATGAGATCTCCCTGCCTCTGTCTTTGCAATGCTGGGTTTACAAGTGTTTGACCCCATGCCAAGCTTTTCTGCAGGTTCTAGGGGATCAAATTTGGGTCTTCGTGCATGTACACAAGCACTTTACTGATGGGACCATCTTCCAAGCCCCAAATCCATGGATTTGTGATACCATGCCCAACCCTCCATAAAACAAAATCATCCTCATTGTCAACCTCTAAAGATCTAAGGCACCAACTTAGTCTTCTTTTTAAACATTGATCTTGGATGTTTTTATCTTCTGAAAGTTGATTTATAAATCAGCTTTCAGTCTTAAAATGTTTCAAATGGCAAATGGGGTCAAAGGAGAAAAAGTCAACATTTACTCTGTCTTCCTTCTGTGAATTATAACTCAAAGCATACAAAATGTAGATATGTGCATTCTTTGTCTTTGCACAGTTCCTGGGTCTCAGCCACTTACTTAACAGGACCTGCCAGCACGGCCATGCCCACCATCCCGCCTTCCTCACATGACCAGCTGTCTTGTACTTCTGCAGTAAGGCTGCCCTGAGCTGGCACACCCACTGCATACTTGTCCTTCGGCTGCCCAGAGCCAGCCTGAGGGGCGAGTGCAAAGGTTGTAATTCATTCATTTGCTCAGGTGCAGATGGAGGGCTAAGTCTTAGAGCAAAGGGGCTGCTGTCTCCAGATCTGCCCTGGGCTTGGAAGAGACGGTTAACCCTATCCCCTAACCCTAACCCCTAGCCCTAACCCCTAACTCCAACCCTTGGAAGAGAGCAGAAATAATGCCTCTCCATGTAGATGTAACCAACCTTCTTATTAAATAAGAAACACAGAACCAATGCAAAGAAGAAAGCCAAGAGGTCAGAGCTAAGAGCTAAAACCTTACCCTTCCTCCTGCAGTGGTCCTACCTCTCCGAACCAGAGCTACCCCTGTGTTAAAGTCTTTATATAGAGGTCCTGTTCTGCCTTCTCATTGGTTGTAAACCCAACCACATGACCGCCTTGTCACGGCCTGTCTGTATAGACCTCCAGGTTTTCCATGATTGTTATTGAGATTAAAGGCATGTGTATCCAATAATGGCTGTATCCCTGAACATACAGAGACTTACCCAGCTCTGCCTACCAAGTGCTGGGATTGCAAGCGTATGCCACCACTGCCGTGCTTTCCTATGGCTTGCTAATAGCTCTGACCCCCGGGCAACTTTATTTATTAACATACAAATAACATTTTAATACAAATAAAATATCACCATATCTCCAGGTGAACTTTTATCAGTGAAACACTACATGGGCTTGCCTCCATTATTACCTATGGACATTTCAAAAGTGTATGGTCCCACAATGGCCCCGGGAAGGTGTCCTATGGGGCAAAGAACCAGTATTTCGGAGGCAGCACTGGCTCAGCCCTCTCTGCTTCATTTCCCTCCTCCCTCTCTCTGAAGTTCCCATAATGCATGGCCTCTTAAAACCTCACACACAACACCCCACTCAGGCTTTGGAGCAGGAAACTTAATGTAGGCAGCAGATAACCAAATGCCAGATGCAGCAAATCGCCAAAGCGTCTCAGCTAATACATAGTGACGTTTAGAACTAGATTAAACCAGACTCTTCTTCTGGTCTCA